ACATTTTGAAATCCGGACTTCAATCCCTTCAAATTGATACTTGATATTGCCTGAAGGATACATTTTATTCAACAAAGATTACCCATATCTTCGAATATGTATAAAACTTCGTGATAGAACACGAAAGATGTTCAAACTTTTTTCTTACAAACAATTTAAATAGTTTAGTGGGGTTAGTTTTGGGTGAAATATTTGGGTGCATATTTAGTTAGTGTGCAATATTAGTCATCATTAGTTTTCTAATATTTCATCAGATTTTATATTTCAAACCTACCGCAAATACTTGTTTACAACAAATTCGAATATTCGTTGGCATTACTAGATCCAATATATAAATATCATTAGCCAATCGATCTATGATGCGACCCTTTGGGATAATATCGAAAAATTTTTGGGGGGCACGCATAATTTGACCAAAAGCTAATGTAAATAATTTATACGAGGCCAATAGGGTACCCAATTCACTGCTCAAAGTGCCACCAATAAATGCTAAGACTAAGAAGATTGAAATTAATATATAAAAAAGGAAACAATTTTGGGAAACAAAACAAGAATAAAATAAAACGTGACATAGTTCCCAATTTGGGATTTTTTTTTAAATATTGGAAAAAGGACAAAAAACTGGTGAAAGGGTTAAGTAAGAACTCAAATGGGCCAAGTGCGGTTTAGTCAAGCTGTAACTGTCTCGGAATTTAGATATTGCATTAAAATTTTGGACATATATTGGTTGGGGTGTTTTGATTGATTTTCGAAAAGTGGTGACATAAAGAACAACAATTCGAGGTAACATTCAAATTGAACACAAAAAAGAAAGGATAGAATAAAATTTTTATAGAAGTTGAATTCTGGACAATTGACGTGAGGAAGGTAGAAGAAAAAAAGGAACACAAAACAGGAAAGAAATGCTTAAAAATTAAAAAATAAGTAAATAATAAATAAATCGGTAGCTTAAAGTATCTTACATCTAGTTGAAAATATATAGAAAATTTTGCCTGGTAATAAGTTAGAGGTATTAAGGAAATTGGAGACAAAACAGAAGCCATTATGATAAAGCCACAGAAGTACAACGAGCAAAGGTCCAAGGAAAAGGATTTTAAGGTCAGGTCATTCAAAGTTGGAGACTTCGTAGTAATAAGGAATGTAGGCACAACAATAGTAGAGTTAACAAAAAGCAATTGTCAGAATGTAAGGGTCCTTATGCGGATTTATGGCTAATAGGAGGATAAAAGACCTCGTCTCCAGATTCACTTCAGTAGATGAGCGAATCGCTATAATCCATTTAAAAACGAAGTTCTTCTAGAAGAAACAGCACCAGATTCATGCACATCGGTATACACAAGGCCACCTGAATTTCTCCTGATCAAGCAACGAGAAATCAACTTGGCCATGTTGTGACAGACGGAAGACATTCGTCCAGTGTTTTTAACGTTCGATCGATACGAGGAACGAATATTCGGACCATTTCCTTGTGGCAGCCAATATTCGCACCCGTCTGAATGTAGCAACAAAGGTGCGATATAATGTAACACGGAAATTCGACGTCGAAAAGCTGCAAACACTACAGATAGCAGAAACATACTCCGCTCAACTTACCCAACTGCTAGATGGAAGCACTCCTTGTCCCGATAGTAGTTTAGAAACACAATGACAAAGAATTGCCCACTCCATACTAACTGCAGCAAAAGCATCACTTGGGTACCAAAAACCACCATAAAGAAACCCGTGGTACGATCAGGAGTGTCGTAATGCTACTGAGCCGAAAACCGCAGAATAAAGGGCAACCCTGCGGACAGTAGCAATACGTAATGCGATGGATAATTATCGGGCGAAAAGGAGAGTGGAGAAACATATTTTCAGAAAAAAAAAGAAAGAACGTGAGCGTGAGCAAATCGAGAGGTACAGGCGTCAGAATGAAGTTCGGAAATTTTTCCGACGAATAAAACACCAAACCGAAGGCTTTGCCGCAGGCACACTATTCAACTATTCAAGAGCAGGAGCATGCACCAGCTCATTTGAACAATTTTGTTAGACGAATGCATGTCCAATGATTAGAACCTCAGCATCCTGTGTCCCGTGCACAAAAATGGAGACAAGACGATATGTGGAAACTATAGAGGAATAAGTCTTCTTCCCATCGCATACAAAGTGATATACAGCGTGATGTGTTAACGACTGAAGCCCATGGTCAATGACACTATAGGGACATACCAATGCGGCTCCAGTGGGTCGATTCACTATCAAATTTAAACAGTTCTCAAATCTATAAAATATTATAACGACAAAATAAACCATATTTCAATTCTATAACAGTTTTTAACAACAATTGTTAAAAATGTTGTTAACAAACAGCACCAAAATATTCGAAGTTAACTTGTCGACAAATATTTTTCAATATTGAACATGCCTTGTTTTGTTCTGAATTTGTATGTATTTTGTTTTCAAAATGTTCAAAATTAAAAGCTTTTTGAAAGTTTATCGGCAATTTGTCTACATTTTTACAGAATAACATTTTCGTTACTGCAAACGATTGTATGTGTAGACAAAATTGTCGATTGTCGGATCGTTATAAGTTACTGAATCGACCCACAGGCCTGGCAAATCAACCATTGACCACATGTTCAGAGGTGTATAAAGCCATGTCTGCGTTTGGCACTCCTGCAAAATTAATTCGGCTATGCTGGATTACTGTAACTGGCACAAGACCAGCAGTTAAAGTCGGAAAAGACCTCTCGGAGCCCTTCAATACCGAACGAGGATTCAGACAAGGTGACAGTTTGTCGTGTGATCTTTTTAACATGCTGCTGAAAAAGGTCATACGAGACGGAAAAGTGAATAGAAATGGCACTCTGTACACCAAACAACGCATGTTACTCGCCTCGAACATTGAGAGCGGTAACAGCCACCTTTGAACAAATTGAGAATGAGTCTGCCAAAGTGGGACTGTCAATAAATGGAGAGAAGCCATACCAAGCTGATGGTATCAACGCTCAAGACGTCTTGTAGACTCGGGTCAACTGTGGAACTTGAAAACTACAGCTTCGAGGTAGTCAAAGATTTTATATACCTTGGTACCGCCATAAATAAAACTAATGACATCAGTTTTGAAATTCGGAGAAGGACAGTGTTGGCCAAAAGATTATACTATGGTCTGAGTAAGCAACTCAAAAGCAAGGCCACCTCTCGCCGGACCCACTCCACCCACTGCCACTCTACAAGACGCTGATACTACCCATGCTGTTATATCATCTGAAGCATGGGTACTTACGCAAGCAGATGAGGCCGCTCTTGGAGTGTTTGAGAGAAAAATTCGCCGAAAGATCTGTGGACCGATCTGCATTGACGGTGAATATCACCGTCGAATAAACCATGAGTTGTACCAGCTATTCTCGGATATCGGCATTGTTAGACGTATTGAGCTGCAGCGATTACGTTGGCTAGGTCATCTTGTGAGAATGGATGAAGATGCCCCAGCTCAAAACACATATAAAAGCGGGCCAAGTGATGGTTCTCGCAGAAGGGGAAGGCCACGAATCCTATGGAAAGATCAAGTAGAAGACAACATCTCGGAAAATAATTTTTCAAATTGGATGAGATGCGCACAAGACCGACGCGCCTGGAAATCTTTTTTAAGCTCGGCTTATTGAACGAAAGTTCTGTCATAAGACAGCTCAGTAAGTAATATGCCAGTCCTCTAGAAGTGTAAATTTTGATATTACATTGAAAATTGTGTTGCAGCAACAAAAATGTTGAACCAATTGTTATTTGAACATATTAGAAAATGTTATTGCCTAAACCTTCGTAATGTTTATTTCATATTTAAAATAGTTTTAAACATTGAAAATGTTGTTTTGAACATGGAAAAATTTTGTTGATGCAACATTCAATAATGTTGCATCAACATATCAAAATACAAATGTATTTTCAATATTAAATAATGTTGAATCAAATAAAAAATGTTATTTCAACATTAAAAATCGTTATTCCACATTGAAAATACTGTTTCAACATTAAAAAAAAGGTTATTTCGAACATAAAAGATATAAAATAACGTGTTAAAATATTGGGAATGTCCTTTCAATATATATAATGTTATTTCAACATTACAAAATGTTGCTTCAACATTAAACTTTTTTCTCAACATTCAAAGTGATGTGTAAACATTAAATAATGTCAACATTTAAAATTTTATTTCAGTATTAAATAATGTCATTTCAACATTAAAAATGTTGTTTCAACATTCAAAATGTTATTTCAACATTAAAAATGTTGTTTCAACATTAAAAATGTTTTTTTAACATTAAACATTTGTTTTTATTATTAAATAATGTTGCTTCAACATTTGAAATGTTGTTTCAACATTAAAAATGTTATTTCAACATTAAATAATGTTGTTTAAACACTAAAATGTATTATTTCGACATTAAATATTTAATTCTTATTATTAATTTTTCAATTCTTAAATTATTTCTTTACCTGTGATGATGTCGATATAAACATACGAATATTCATTGGTATTATCATATCGAGGGTATTAATGTCATTCGAACATCTATCTAGGATGCGACCCTTTGGTGTGATATCATAAAATTCCGATGAACAATGCATTAAATGTGTATAGAGATTATGGAAAATTCTATAGGAAGCACGAAGGGTGGCTATCCACAGGGTTAGGGAGGCAAAAAAATTGCAAAATCCTTCATTTTTATAAAAAGGCAAAAATAAGAAAATGGAAATATAGGGGGTGGAGAGCGAATATAAATAGAAAGAAGAAAAGGGGAAAACAAATTTTAGAAGAAGAAAAATTTAAGAGAAAAAATGGGAAAGAGATATAGAAGAAGAAAATGTTAAAGATAATAAAGTTAACTTGCAGGATTTTAATGCATATCTATTGGTATTTTTGTGAAATCTCATATAAATAATGTTTAGGTTTTGAAAACTCAAAAAAATTGAAATGCAAACTTAAAATTATAAAATTTAAGAAAATAAAAAGGTTTAAATACCGAAAACAAAAATGTCAATAAAGTATCCACGGTGCCTGGTAATTCTCCATCGATGACTTCCATATCACCGCTAAAGTGATTCAGCAAACGTCCAATTGGTATTATATCAAAAAATCGACTCACCGAATTGCGCATAATAATTTTCAAGAGATCATTATGCAAGGTCTTGGCAGCCTCAAATGTACCATAATAAACGGCTACTACGGCAAAATAAGAGCATACACCTGGAGTAGATTTTTGCCAAGGAAGGAAGGAAATAAAAAATGGTAACAAAAAATAAATGGAAGGGATTAATAAAAAAAGGATATGGGGAATAATAATGTTTATATAAATAGGATTTAGGGAAATTTATGGGGAGGGAGGATGAGGATTATTTTTGTATTCGTTTTATTTTTTTTACCAAACCAGTATGGGAAATTAAAATTTGAAAGGTATTGGGAATTAGAAATGATATTGGCAACAATGTTATCCTTGCCCATGTGGTAATGGGGTGTTGGATAGAATTGGTAGAGAGCACATGGGAGTTATAAATATAATGCCGATCGTACACCACTACAGTCGCTTCGGGGCCTAAACAAGGCGGGGATTTTTTAAAGAATATTTTTTCAAGACCTTTGGTTTTTTTAAACAATATTTTTTCAAGGCCTATAAAAGGCGTGGATTTTTTAAAGAATAGTTTTTCAAGGCCTATAAAAGGCGTGGATTTTATAAAGAATAGTTTTTCAAGGCCAATAAAAAGGTGTGTAATTTTTAAATAATGTTTTTCCAAGGCCTATAAAAAGGTTTGTAATTTTTAAAGAATACATTTTCAAGCCTAAACAATGCGTTGATTTTTTAAAGAATATTTTTTCCAGACCTATAAAAGGTGTGGATTTTTTAATAAATATTTTTTAAGCCTTATAAAAAGGTGTGTAATTTTTAAAGAATATTTTTTTCAAGGCCTATAAAAAGGTGTGAAGTTTTTAATAAATATTTTTCAAGACCCATAAAACGATGTGGTTTTTTATTTAAATAATACATTTTTAGAGCCTATAAAAGGTGCAGATTTTTCAAAGAATATTTTTTCAAGGCTTATACAAATGTGGGGATTTTTTAAAGAATATTTTTTGAATGCCTATAAAAATGTGGGGGTTTTTTAAAGAATATTTTTTTCAAAAGGTGTGAATTTTTTTAAAGAATATTTTCCAAGGCCTCTGTGGGTGTAGTAGCTTTGGGTGTAGTAGTGCATGATCTCTTATATTATTGTTTATGAACCTCAACGAAGTTTGTGCCGCGTTTTTTGAGGTTATATCTAATGGAAACTGGTAGGCAGTAATTAGTTGGGAATTAAATATAAAATGGTATAAAAGAAGGATTAGGTTGGGATGAGATATAAATATGGGATATGAGTGGTTGGTTATAGGATGGGTGGGTTTCGGTTACCTTATCCATGTATGCAAAATTATTTTTTTCGTAATAGAAAAAAATTGAGAGCGAATTTGCGAACTGATGAATTAACTTCAGCCGTTGATGATGAAGTTTTGGACGCTCGCTGTGGTAGTACCATACCGTGAATAAGTTACTGCGAGAAATTCTACTAAATAATGATGTCAAGAAGATTTTTTTTGAGTAGAGAGTGTGTCTTAATATATATATATTTAAAGATATTTTAATTAGACTCAAATGTAGTTTTTTGATTTCGATACCAAATTACCAAAAAAAAGCAATAATAAAAAAAGGAAAAAGAAGAAGAATAGTAAAGTAATGTTTCTTTTTGTGTTATAAGAAAAATCAAGTTATGATAAATATATGTATAACATAATAAATATACTAATAATACTTAAGTTTATAATAAAAATGATAATGAAATTTCGAAATAGAGATATGAATATGTTGGAGCAATTTTAATTTGCAACATGATTTTTTTTTAATTTCGAAACAGAAAAGGAATAGAGAAAAATCTATATAATTACACTATGCAACAACACAAAAATTTATTCGAAAAATAGTAATTTTTCAAGACCTATATGTGGTTTAGATTTTTTAACGAAAATTTTTTATAACGCCTTTATTTTTCAAGGCGTAAATTTTTAAAGAGTATTTTTTCAAGGCCTATAAAAGGCGCGGATTTTTAAAAAAAATATTTCTTCAAGGCCTACACAAGACGTGGATTTTTAAAGAATGTTTGTTCAAGGCCTAAACAAGGCGTGGGATTTTAAAGAATATTTTTTCAAGCCATAACCAAGGCGTGGATTTTTTAAAGAATACTTTTTTCAAGGTCGAAATCAGACATGGATTCTTAAAGAATATTTTTTCAAGGCCTAAACATGGCGTAGATTTTTTAAAGATAACCAAGACGTAGATTTTTAAAGAACATTTTTTCAAGGCCTTTATGAGGCGTGGATTTCTTAAAGAATATTTTTTCAACAACTAAACAAGGCGTGGATTTCTTTACAGAGTATTTTTTTCACACCTAAACAAGGCGTGGATTTCTTAAAGAATATTTTTCCAAGGCCTTTATGAGGCATGGATTTCTTAAAGAATATTTTTCCAAGGCCTGGATTTCTTAAAGAATATTTTTCCAAGGCCTTTATGAGGCATGGATTTCTTAAAGAATATTTTTCCAAGGCCTTTATGAGGCCTGGATTTCTTAAAGAATATTTTTCCAAGGCCTTTATGAGGCATGGATTTCTTAAAGAAGGGTCTATAAGAGGAGAATGTATTTCTGTTGCATAGCGATATTGAGATTGTTCGTATTACCTAGAAAAGAAAAAATATAAAAATTTTTGGGACCTGCTTGACAATCTCCATGGAATTTTCAGGCCCCAACTTGTTTCCCTCACAACTTATAAAAAAACTTAAGGGGAGATCCAAAAAATTAAATCTAATTAACCATAAAAGAACAAATTTTGAAATATCTTTTCATTACCGAAAAACACGTATTGAGGAATTGTTGAAAACTCAATGGCAATACGGTATCGCATGTATCAATATCTTTGGAAAAACGACTGATAATACGGCCCACCGGTGTTGTATCGAACAGTTCCATTGGCCATTTGAAAACTTTGAACAATAGAATATTAAAGACACTCATTGAGCTATGCAAACAGCCAATTGCCAATGTCAAGCCCGATATATAACGTGCAAGAACTGTGTGGTTAAGAAAAAAAGAAAAATTGATTTTTTTATGTAAAAATAAATTTTGAAAAATAGAACCAAAAAAATTAAGCAGGTGGGTATTTAAAATATGTTGCTATGGAGGGCATTAAATTGTCTCATCTGGTTGATATCCCATATTTTTAAAAACATTTTTTAATCAGCCAAAAAATTATACTAATTAAAAAAAATAACAAACGAAAAGTTAAAAAAAAAACATTTTCATGGCAAATTGATACATGCAATTTTTACCAAAAGAAAACAAAATGAATACTAATATTAATGTTAGAAGTAAAAAATAAAACAATTTACAAAAAAATAAATTTGAATCCAACATTACAGTAACTAAAATTAACTCCATGTTAGTATTTTCAAAAGAAAACGTAACGAATTTTAGAAAATAACGTAATTGATGAAACAAGAAAAATTTCCGGCTTACTAAACAACAAAACTAGCTTTAAAATAAAAACTTTTTTTAATATAATACATACAATAGCACAACATATTTACACGTAAGTAACACAAACTAGCCTAAGGTTGTGGGGTAAAGGGATTTTTTTCCGAGGGAGGGGACAGAATTTTGTACCATACGTTATGGTTGTGTGTATTCGAGTGTTGTGGTATTCGAAATTTTAAATTCTTTGAACTTTTTTTAAATCTGAAGTATCATTTAGGAACCATTAATGAGAATGTTTCCTAATATTACACGTGATACATAAAATGAACGTTCATAGTTCATAAATCATCTTTAAAAACAATTTCTTTTATAATAGGATCATTTAGGAACCGATGAAATGTTCCAATGAAAATAGTTCCTAAAATTACACAGTGACACATTTTTCAACTTTAAAATCTTGAACCAATCGAGACCCCCAAAATCTTGAAGCTTGTGATGGTGGAAGAAAATCCCTAGCTGGGTTTTGCATTATTAGCTAAGGTTTTATTTTAAATTAATTTTTAAAATATTCGACTGGAGGTGGATTTTAATACAATTTTCGAATAATACGTACTTATTATTGAGTCTATATCTCGTGAACTATTCGAAATATTGCTTTTCTCTCTTAAGCAATATTCTTCCTCTTAATTAGATCTAAAAATGTTTTCTTGAGATAAAATCAATAAAACATCACCATCATACTGAAAATAGCACAACTGCAAAAAAATTAAAATTTCGACATACTTTTTCCATGTTTTTTTCACACTTATTTCAGAAACTGCTACTGACTCGACCAAACAATATATGACAAGAAGATAGCCAATAGCAAATAAAACAACTCTTCTTAAAACCCCGATTTCATTGGTTGACTCCTTCACATAGTTATAGCCTCACAAATTCTTCAAAATGAACCAAAGAAATTCACTCCCAATTGTATGTTTATAGTAATAAAAATTGCTATGCTTTTTCAATAAATAGGAACAAAATTAAAGTGAAAATTAAAATGTTTGGGCCCTTTAGTTTTTTTCGAAGACATGTCGCAGCGATATATGCACAGGGTAAACGCAGGAACTGGAGGTGCGACCTTAAAGTTGTCAATATTTTGCAAGGCATAAAGGGTGGATGGCCAAAGTATTATTTATTTTCGTGCCGTTGGGACACACGAGCAAAAGTCGATCACTACTCGCACACTTGGGGAAAACGTATGTCAGGAGTAAAAGATGCCACATTATACATGACAGCAGAGCCACTAATAAAAACCAGTAAGGAAAGTAGTAAAGTCGGACGGGGCCGACTATATGATACCCTTCACCACTTTGGGTATATTCAACAGATGAACCCTAACAGACGTCGCATTTTTGAAGGACCAGTAAAATTAAATTGGATCCATAAACATGTCGTTCTGCAACCGATACTAAATTTTTCATTTGGTCGGATATAGAAGCTATATCTAAATCTGAACCGAATTCAGGAAAATTAACACACATCATTCTAGACCTAATTCATTGTGCTGTGCCAAATTTCGTGCAAATCGAAAGATAAATACAGTCTCTGGTGCACCATTTACCTTAAATCGGACGAAAATATATATGGGAGCTATATTTAAATCTGAACCGATTTTTACAAACTTGGCACACATCATTCTAGATCCAA